CATGCACCAAGAGGTCACCGGTTTGATTCCCAGGTTGTGGCCCCGATCCCAAGGGCGGGGCGTGCATGAGGCAGCCAATCCATGTGTCTCTCTTATCGATGTTTTTATCTTTCTCTCTCCCTCTCCCTTCCTCTCTCTCTAAAAATCAATAAAGAAATAAAAATAAGAAAGAAAATAAATATACTTAGGTTTTTTATTTTTATTTTTTACATGCACTGTAAATGAATATTGATTTTAAGTTAATTGATATATTAAATTTCTAGATGTCATTTTAAAAATTTTATATTTCCAATGACTGGTCTTGGAAAGATTTTACACAACATATTCTCTGTGCCTTATTTAGTAATAAAGGAAAACCTAAAAAGGTAATATGGGTATTTCAAAGTACATAAAATCCTTTCTGGTATGAAAGAATCTGTTGATTTTTATTAAGCTTTCCTTTGCCTTGTAATACAAGATACATTAATGGGACAGAACTACATATATATGACATACAATGAACTCTTCTTTTCTCTAAAGTTTAGGTATCACTTTAAAAGGCCAAGGATACAAGACACTCCCTAATTGCTTGTCTTGATTTTGCTGAGGATTAATATGATTTCAGTAAGCAAACTCTTTTGATTTGTTCCTTAGTGTTTTTTTTTTTTTTCCTTTTTCTTACAACAATGACAGTGCATGTTCTCAAAAATATAGGAAGGTCTAGATATAAGTAGTAACTTAAAGTTATTTCTGTACTTAAAAAAATATCATGTGAGCCGGGGCCAGTTTGGCTCAGCGGTTGGAGCGTCAGCCTGCGGACCAGAGAGTCCCGGGTTCAGTTCCTGCTAGGGGCATGTACCAAAAAAGAAAAAAAAAATCAGTGGTCCTTTCATTATTTGAACTGCTAGGCAATGACATCTATAGTTTCATCTTTTTTTTATCTCATAGAAATAAATATGACACTTTAAGTATGTAAACCTTAGATCATGATATTATTTATGTCTAACATAATTTTAAGGTGTAGCTATGTCATGGGAAATATTTTAAAGGTAATCTATATTCACACAGCCTGTGTTATGCTTTTTAAAGCCTGTATATATCAGGTGTATATTTTTGGTTTGGCGTAAGCTACTATTGTAATTTGGGGGGCATTTTGTTCATAAAGAATTTTTTGAAGGAATGGTAACTTCTCAAGGATTGTGAATAAATACATTTACATATGTAAAAACTAAAAAAAAAAAAAGATGATAAAAAAAACAAGATGATTATTTTCCAGCCCACTGATTCCAGTTCAGGGTGATGGGGGCCAGAACCTTTCCCGGCAGCTCAGGCAGGACCCAACCCAGGAAGGACGTCTTTCCATTGCAAGGCCGCGCACACTCACACTTAAGGCATGAAGAGTACCCATATCAACTAGTTGGAATTGCTTTTCTGCACAGACTTGTCGCTTCACCCCTATTTATTTATTCTATCATTTGTTTATATCAGTGTGAACTGTGCATGGTAACTTTCGTCCCAAGGGCAAGGTATGGAATGGAGGCAGGAGTAACTTTACAGTGGAGAAACTGGACAAACACTGTCTCAGCAGCAGATGAACTAAACATCACACTTATTAAGCATATTGATTGTATGTAACCTTGATGTCCTGTGATAAAATGGCACTTTGTCTATGTGATCCTCCTTCCCCAAACTCATAATCCCTGTTTAATCATGAGTCAACATCAGACAATTCCCAGTGAGAAGCACCCTACAAAATACCTGACTAGTACTCCTCAAAACGATCAAGGTTATCAAAAAAGCAAGAAATTCTGATAACTGCCACAGCCAAGAGGAGTCGGTGGAGACATAGGACTCAATGTAATGTGATATCCTGTATGGGACCCTAGAACAGAATAAGGACATTAAGAACTAAAGAAATCTGCAAAAGGGTGAACTCTAGTTAATAATGATGTATGAATATTGCTTCATTGACATTGTCTCAATTTTTCTGTAACTCATTCTAAAGAACAAAGTCTATTTTCTTTAAAAAAAAAAAAAAAAAGACTTCATTGTCCTTCAAACACAAAAACACAAATGGCAGCATTTCCATCCACTATTCTAAAGGAAGCCGGGGTCCCACTGCACACACAGGAGAGCCTATGTGCTATGATCTAGGAGTGACACTCATGGAGTCTGCGCCCCCAAACTATTATGCAGCAAGCCAGTCACTTAATTTCTTGAGTTATAAGTGTCTCCTTGATGTGTTTGGAAGCCTTAGAGAAAGGTGCAAAAGAGAGGCAGCAAAAAGTGTGGAATTACACCATTGTTTCTGTTTGTTCTCCGGGTGGCGCATTTTTTCTGTACAGCAATTTGATTTTGTTAAACTACAGTTAGAGCTTTGCCTTCCCTTTTATAGTAGAACCATTTTGTCAAGTTGACAGATTAGCTTGTCAGCCCAAGCTCATCTTTCTCACCTTTCTTCTTCTTGCTGGGTTGGTTTTAAGTTATCCTGGGGTTTGTGTCCTATGTTGATGCTGGATTTTGGGTTGTAACTGTTACCAGAGTTCCTGGTGCTGAGAATTTGGCTATAACTAGGCAGAAAGTTTGTTTTTATCTTGAAAATTTTAAATATAGTACAACACTATATTATATATTGTATATACCCAGTACATAGAAATATAATACAGCATTATAAAATACAACACAACAATAGAATATTCATGTGTTCACCAGCCAAGTGTAACAAATATCAACAGGTTATCATATGTGTTCCAGATATTTCAATACATTTTTTTAAAAAGTAAAATATACACCCAGAACAAAAGCACTACAAAAATATTCACACACACACAAAAATTCATTCTAAGAATTTTTCACTGTACCTTGAATCAAGGAGGAGGTTAGGATGCACAGTCTTAGAAAAGGAAAACTAAAAATTACAATACAAATCTCTTAGAAATAGGAGGACATTTATAGAAATCTGTGCCCTTAAAAGAAGGGGGAAATATCACGAGTTTCCTCTTATAGTGTCAGGAAGTAATTTACTTAAAAAAAATATGGAAAGACGCAACCACACCTTGAGTCTATGTTTCCTGGAAAAATACAATCACACACACGCACACACTAATCCAGTATTTTTTTCTTCATGGAATTTCCAAAATCACTGAGAAGCCAAATTACTTCACTTCTGACTTCTTTGGCTCTTACTATCTAAATAACAATCACTTACTATCATATTTGCTATCATTTACTATCATATTCTTTGATTCAGACGGTTGAGTGGTCCATTACATCACTCCATAATGCTGTTAAGCCTTTCACTAATCATTTTCTCATTTCATATCTCACCCCACCCCCAACGGGGTTGTAAATTCCTTAATAAGACCTTGTGCGTTAGTATGATGTCGGAGCTCCAGGGCTTTGACTGAGAAGCTGTGCACACTGTAAATCTTCAATAAATACATGTGGCTTGATTGAATAAACCAGTATTTTTTGATGTATGTAATTAGGAATTTGTTTGTATTTTTAAACTCCCTGCATTAACTCAGAGTTAATGCCCTCTATTTCTGAGACCATCACTAAATTCTATTCATTTTAAAAAGCCCACCTCAAGTCCCTACTTCTGTAAGAAGTCTTTCAGGCCCTCCAAACCACAGACATGGACATTTTTAATTCATACAGTTCCTTTGGAAAGTTTAGAGATAACTCTTGTATTTTTCTTTATGTAATACACAATAAAAGAAAAATACAAAAGTAAACTGTGCTTTGAGTACTCACAAAATGTGGACCTTCTTTGGACCCTTGCTGTGTGAGCAATCTGAGAGCAGAGGTCACAGGAAGTCTGCATCCTGACATCAGGGGCCAACCATGACTGATTACAAGACCCCAGTGCCATAAATGTTTCTGAAATAAATGAATAAATAACTTACATGCTTCTACTCTCAGGTTCTTTACATATTAAACAGGTGCCATTGCATCTAACCTAGAGGCATATTGTGAGGACTAAATGACACCATGTGTTAAACGTCATCGTATATAATGTAAAGATTTGTTTCAGGACATCTCGTTGGCATGTGCCTGCCTTTTTGATTCTCCCAGATTTAGTGTTTTCTTCATTTCGATTCCCAAGATATCTTCCTCTTTGCCTTTGAAGGAAAATAAACCCGATTCATCGATTCCTTCTCTCCCTGTACTTCATTTATTTCCTTTGTGGCACTTAATGGGATGCATATTTTGGGTCTGCCCACCACTGTATGGTTAGAGTCTTTCTCTGGACATCCAAGCTCACTGTGTATCGTTCACCTCTGTGACCCACCTGCACCCACACTGAGCCTGACAACTCATCTGGACCTTCTTCTGAGCACTATCACATACATTCGAACTGCATCAATACAGGCTGCTCCTGCAGCACTTTCATTAGTCACCTCAGAACAACAGGAAACCATCTCAGCTCCCACTCCATCCTACTGGAGAGAGAAGGAGAATGAACTGTCCTTTCCTCTGAGGTGTGTTGGAGGAACACTGGCAAGAATAGGTGGGAGATTCTTCCCCTGGGCTGGGAAGTGCATTGGCTCCTCAGGAAGGTCTTATTAACTCCTTCAGGATAAAAGGGCTCATTTTTTAAGACCCTTCTTAAGTGGGAGTTTTCTAATATTTGAGTGCATAAAAATCACAGAAGGAGTTTGTCAAAAATGCCGATTTCCCAGGCCCCACCTGGTAGGAGACTAATTTGTTATGTGTAGTGCCCAGGAATCTGCATTGAATAGTTACGGCTGTCTCCCCCCCACCCCCACCCATTACATATGTTGGTGCAGATGATCCTCTGCTCCTAATTCAGGAAGGACTGTTAAACTTCCAAGAATTCTTATCTCTAAATTGGTCAGCACCTTCCTTGGCAGATCCAGGTCAGTCTACCTACACAGAATATTGATTGAGCTGGTAGGATGATACCTTTACTGCTTTGGCAACATGAATTCTAGTAGAATCAGAAGCAATAAATATATTTAGTCGTTTAAATCCTCAGCAGTTTAAAAGAAGATCTCGTCATCCTCTTCTTGGGGTTGTGCTGCTGTTCGATGAGCATGTAGTGAGGGCAGTCCTGCTAACTCCTACACAACACGTTCACCTAGGATAGAGCTCTGCTTACCTTGGTGCAATTTTTTGAAAAAATAATGTAAAAAAAAGATAAACTCAAGACCCCCAAATTCTGTCCAGGTCTAGATGACACACTTTTAGAGTTTTGCATGATAGGTCCAGAAAAAGATCAAGATGGTAAAAGGTTTAAAAACGATGGCATGTGTGGGGGTGGCTGAAGGACTGGAAGGCTCTGAAGGCCACAGGCAAGGAGCTGTCTTCACACAGTTGCAACATGGGTGCCATAATTTGGGATGGGTAGAGGAGCATTCATTCCACATGGCTCCAGAGACACAACATAGTCATGCCCCCAGAACGGGATCCTGATCTATATCCCACCATTCAGTGCATTCACTTCAAGGATTTGTCTCACGATCATCACTGGGATCACAATGACATGAATTATAGCATAAATAAATTTAAATGATGATCAAAATTTGGTTAAATCTTTGAAGTTAAGAATAATAGTTTACTCTGTAGGAATTCCAAATTGCCCTTGTGCTTTCCTTATTCTATCTCCAGGTCTTCTTTGCTCACTCAGTTTCCATTCTCTAAAGTATCTTTCTTCCTATTTCTCGACCTGGTGTTCAATTTATTCTTAAAATTAGGCAACTCCTCTAGGAAGCCCTCCTTGATTTCCAGGCAGAGCTGTTGTGTTTCTGCATGTCTTGTGAGTGAGGCACTAATAATCCTTTTGTTTCTGGCTGTCTTTTCAAGGACATTTACAGGGGAGAGCAGCCTTGGAAACAGATATAATACCTCCCTCTGAGGAATATGGCAAATCTGTTTTCTGTGTAGTATGAAAGATGAAGGTTTCCTAAACTCAGGGGCCTCAGCTGTGAAGCATGCCCACTGCTTGTGCAGCTCCCTTTAAGTCACTTTTGTAGGAATTTCTGGGTAACAGGAAGTTCCCGCACACTCATGTTTGCGTCATAAGTAATAGAGTTTTTTGTCATTGATCCAAGAGTATGGTGTCTTCTGCCAGTTTCCATGAAACAATGTTAAGCAAGTTTGTCAGCTTGCAAGGAAGATAAAATCTCAAGTAATTCACAGTTCTTGATAAATAGTCTTTGTGATTTCTTTTATCATAGTATTTTTCATCTCTTACATTGAAATTATCAGCTTCTATTAAAATAGCCTCAAGAGAAATACGTGACTATTCCTGCTTCATCGTTGCTCTCCCAATATAAGCACCTGAAAAGACACTTTGTAGAAGAACATATGAAGTTTCAAAAGCTTGTATATCGAAGGCTATTTGCTTCAAAGTTTAAAGGGACACTATTAGCTGAATAATTACAGTATGCAGTGAAGGATTTTGCATAATCATTCAACAGCTGGATGATCTTGAGGAAGTAGTTGGACTTTCAGTTCAGCTTGTTTGCCCTGGGCAGCCTGGTGGTACGTTAGGGGTTGCCATGAGAGTTTAAAGATGATGTTATCCTCAAGATGATGCCTAATGAGAAGAATCCCAACATTTTCAGAGAGTCCTGATAGCCAGACATAAAACTAATATCTATTTACAAGAACCTTTGCTCCTGTATTACTCCGAATAGAAGAAAATCTGAAAAAACAAACAAACAAACAAAAACCCCAACCCAAATTACCAATAATATTCAATAGTTTATTTGATGTCACTACACCAAATAGTACAATTTAGTTTTAGAATTGGGTTTAAATGAAAATGTATTCAAGAAAGAAAATCTCTCTAAAATATTGTTAAGAGACAAATAAATATACAGAAGAATATATATAATATGAGCTCCATTTCTGGCATAGCTGAAAGATATTTACACCAAAATATATGTGGTGATTATACAAAATGGTTGAGATCATGAACAAATTTTTGTTGATTTTTCTTCTCTTTTTTGTAGTTTAAAATTTTTTCTACATGAAATAATTATTACTTACACAACCAGAAAAAATGTATATTATTAAAATAGTGATGATTAAAAATTAAAATAGTGATTATTTTTTTTAAATCTCCTGGGAAGGATGATATGGCCTTTTTGAGAAATATAAGCAAACTTAAATGCAGTCCTTAAAACAGGAACTAAAATCATGTTAATGGATAAAAAGACTCAATATTATAAAAATGTCACTTCTCCCCAAATTGATCTATAAATTTAATGCAAATCTAGCCAAATTTCAATAAGTTTATATGTATGTGTAGAAATTAACAAAATTCCTCTATAATATATGTGACAAATGCAAAAACCTAAGAATAACTAAGACAATATTGAAGAAGAAAGACAGACCTGAAAGTTTTATACTACTGGATGTGCAGACATCTTATAGAGCAGTTAAGAACTTTCAGTGTGAAACTAGTTCAAGAATAAACAATTGACTAATGGAACAGAAAGGAAAGTTCAGAAATAGACAGGCTCACATGTAGTCACTGGATTACTGTGGTGCAGTGGGGAAAGGAAAAGGATGGTCTTAATAAATCACGCTGGGCCAAGTGGATATCCATTTAAAAAATGAATTTTTAGCTCTACTTCTCACTATAAACAAAATTAATCCTCCCAGATGCACAGATGGTATTATAAATGAAATAACAAAACTTCTGTTATAATACAAAATTTTTTTATGACATTGAAATAGGCAAAGATTATATATGTAAAATACACTCTAAGGCGCTATCCATAAAGAAAAACAAAGATATATTGGACCACATTATAATTAAGAATGTAGTTCATGAAAAAAACACACAAAAAAAACAGCTCCAACTAACCCTGAGAGAGACCAGTAAGGTTAACTTACTGGGTTGGAGTTACCAATCAAAGAAAGCAGAAGGAGAGTTAGCTATGAGCATAGCTAATCCCTGCTATACATTCTTTACATGCCACAAACAGCACTGAGAACAAGACTATAAGGCAGGCATAGAAATGAACTCTCAGGCTGAAAAGTTCAATGTACAGAAAATTCCAAAATGGTGGTGGAGGGAATGGAAGCTACATAGACCATCTCCAGGACAAAACTGGAATTAAAAATAAAGATAAATCATCAGGAAAAAAAATAACAGAAAAGCAGCCAGAGCCCTGGCCAGTTTAGCTCAGCGGTTAGAGCGTCAGCCTGCGGTCCAGAGAAAAGCAGCCAGAGAGGACCCATATAACCACAGTCAGAAAAGGGACGTGAAATCAACCTGGAAGGAACTTCAGAGGTATGAGAGGGCAGGCTGGGAGCCCACAGACAGCAGCTGTTTTAGCTGTGAGCATCTCCCTTGTGGTTAAATTTCCAAACCGACTTCACAGCACACAGGGCCGGGACAGAGCACTACATCAGTTCAGCTACTCACCTTGGGCTCTGGCAGAGGGAGGGCAGGCTGGACTGGAACTGTGTGGAGAGATTCAGGAGCTTAGAGAGCTGGGATGGCAATGGGAGTTTTGTGCTGAATCACTGCCTCACAGGACAGTAGCCATCTAACTTAAAGAGCCCCTCCCAAAGCCCCTGGGAGAAGCAACAGCCCCTCCCTCAGGAATTTAACATCTGGCCAGGCCAGAGAAATGCAAATTGAGGATCATTAACAGCCAGCAAGCATCTGCCCCACCCTCTGGAAATCTTCTTACCCTGAGCACCTGAGGGATTTTTTCATTCAGTTGAGGACTACAATCCAAGGCTCATTAAGTAACTGAGACTAATAGCCTCCAGGCAAAAACATAGAGGATAACTGAACCATTCCTGGGCTTGCAAATCTGCCCAGGAAAGTAAGAGTTGACAGTGGTGTTAACATGGGTCCTCCCACACTCATTCAAACCCAGTAGAGGGAGCCACAACCAGCGGAAAACCAACACCCACAGGGAAAATTTGGCAGACTCCAAAACCCACTGAGATGGCCAAAATGGTGAAACAAAGGAACAAATCCCAAATGAAAGAATAAGATAATTTGACAGAAGAGAAAATAAATGAAAGGGAATTGAGCAAGATATCAGAGGGAGAGTTCAGCATAATAATCATGAGGAAGCTCAACAGCACAAGTAAAGATATAGAAGCATTGAAAACCAACCAATTGAAAATGAAGAATGACATACCAGAAATAAAAAACACATTGGAAGAAATAACCAGCAGAGTAAAGGAGGCCAAGGATCAGTGAATTAGAAGACAGGGGAGAAAAAATCACCCAATCAGAGAACAAAAAAGACAAAAACAATAAAAAAACAGGAAGACGGCCTGAGAGAACTGTGGGACAATATGAAACATAACAATATCTGCATCATAGGAGTCCCAGAAGAAGAAGAAAATGAGCAAGGGTTAGAGACTATGTTTGAAGAAATAGTGACAGAAAACTTCCCTAACTTGGTGAGGGGAAAAGGCATACAAATACAAGAAGCACAGAGAGCCCCAAGTAAGCAGAACCCAACCAGGCCCACACCAAGACACATACTAATTAAAATGCCAAAAATTAAAGACAAAGAGAGAATCCTAAAGGCAGCAAGAGATATACAACAGGTTACCTACAAAGGAAACCCCATTAGGCTCTCAGCTGACTTCTCAACAGAAACACTACAGGCCAGAAGGAAATGGCATGAAGTAATCAAGGTCATGAAAAACAAGGCTCTGAATCCAAGACTACTCTATCCAGCAAGGCTATCATTCAAAATAGAAGGTGAAATAAAGAGCTTCCCAGACAAAAAAAAAGTCTAAGAGAATATATTCCCGCTAAACCAGCACCGCAAGAAATGTTCAAAGGACTGCTGCGATTAGTAGAAGACATAGAAAGATAAATATAACCACTATAAACAAAAATAGCAATAAATAAGTACATATCAATAATAACCTTAAATGCAAATGGATTGAATGCTCCAATCAAAAGGCACAGAGTAGCTAATTGGAAAAGAAAGCATGACTCATATATATGTTGTTTAAAAGCAACCCACCTACCAACAAAAGACTCACATAAGTTTAAAGTGAAGGGATGGAAAAAAATCTTCTAAACAAACAGAAAGAAAAAAAGAACTGGTGTAGCAATACTCATATCCAATAAAATAGACTTCAAAATGAAGGCCATAACTAGAGATAAAGAAGGCCACGACATAA